AATAGTATTTAATATTGTTTAATTTAAAAATATTATTATTACTTTATATTTGTACTAATAAATTAAAATAAATTTAATTATTTTAATTTTGTAATAATATATATATGTATACAATAACACATTAGATGTACCTATATATATATAAATAAATATTTTACACATGATTGTAAATATTTTTACAGATTTTTCTCATAATAAATATGAAGTGTTATTTTTAACGTATGAAAAGTATTTGAAAAACCCGCCACCTACCATGCATGCGCACAATGATCAAAGTACCAATTTTCATGTTCTTTTGTCTCTCTTTTTTGGGACACGTTCCACTTACGGAAAAAATGCTATGTTAGCAATATAGGAGTATTATATATATGGAGTAACCAAGATGCTATGAAACGAAAGGAGAAAGCAGGTTAGATCAGCCGAAAAATGAAAACCACTGAGGTCTATAACATACTGGAGCGAGCCTTCAAGAAGTAGGGGTGTCTTCTCGGTCGAAAAGGCCAAATAGATGACGTGAGGTTAGTTTTCCTTATCAGTTATTCGTTGACTGGTTGGCGTAAGAAAGAGACAGAGAGCCTCACACTCTATATGTGTCCTCTTCTAAATCGCGGATCACAATGGGCTTGTTTGTTTTAGCTACACTGGGGCTGCTCTGGGTCTGCTCTACACAGGATAATACAGGACAGATAAATAGTTTGTCCTGTATTACCTTGTTTAGAGCACACCCAGAGCTGCCCCAATGCAGCTAAAACGAACAAGCCCAATGTTTTTTTGTTTGAGATACGGAAGGCTCGCTTCAGTGTGTATCAGTGTGTATAAAGTTCAGTGGTACAAAACCGGTTGCCAATCATAAATTGCAAACCGGTCGTTTTTCCTACAGATATGCAATGCGCTTAGTAGGCAACGGGTCAAAATTAAGACGATTGGTAACAGTATTCAGTTAACAGGAGCGAAAGAAAGTATAAGTATTCTGTTACATGTTATAGCTCAAATATGTTACACCGGAACATTGCATTTATTTTGTGCATTTGTGTAAATTTTTCTGTGTTAATGTGTGTCTCTACGCAAATTCACGAATTCAACGAAAATAATGGCAGTAATTATACACTACCCGCGTATACCATTGCCTCAAGAGCCGATCTTCTCAACTCGACATGTGGAAAGGAGTTACACGATTTTCGAGACGCTGTTGATCAACGAATACTGTGGAGTTTGAGAAGTTAGTAAAATTCTTAATACATTGTTTATTGACTGTTTTCAATATTGGGATGTAGTTTCGAAAAGCCCACACCTCCGATTTGCTCTAAACTACGCTTTTTATTGTACTTTTGCGCGCTGATTACGAATATGGCCATGTCGATTGGCGACAAGATCATTTTCGAAGTCAAAAAAACTCAAAAATTATCATTTTGTTAACCACTTCAGTGGTAGATTTCTCCGAAAGGTTTGTACCAAAAATGGTAAGAGTCAAAAGTTAAAATATCGAAAAACGGTGAAACACGAGTTCAAAGTTTTCGAAGAAACTACTTTTCGGAATGGGTGTGGGTCGTGTGGGAAGTCCTACGGAAGGGCTCTATTACTGAAAAACTAAACACATAGATTTGGGTTGGAACCTCGCTTTGCGTAGAAAGTTGCAAACCCATGTGGAACCTCGCTTCGCGTTGTAAAGTGTATACGTGAATACAGTGGAACCCACTGCATAATGCAGGGGGGTGGGGGTCTTTCCTATTATCTCATTTTTTTCAAAAAATATAGTTCCATGCAAAATATACATAAAATATAAATAATGTATTTTTTCAAGAGCTACAACTTTTACTTAAAACATTTTTTTGTTACATCAATATTTATCAAAATAATGTAAAAAAAAGATAATTTTTGAGTTTTATTTTACGATTTTTCTGCTTTACTGAAGATGATCAAATTACTGATCAAAACGTCTAAATATTACTTTAATTTTGTTTCTATACAAAGATTGTTAACGAATAATATTTATTTTTATAATTATTAGTCGTTGATTAATAATCATTAAAAAATACTATATTATATTTTGTTTAAATAATAATTGTTTATTTTTATCTTTAAGTGCTAGATTCTAGTGGTGAACCTAAATCCGGCTTTCTTTAT